AATCACTTGATTCACATAAAAGTCTGAAGGACAGAGAGCCCATCCTATCGAACTAAGATGGAGTCTGATAAGCCCTGGGGTACAGGTCCAAATCCTCCAGGAGTACGGCACATGTTTTGGCTTAGGACCACATCAGAAGGAACAAAGGAACCATCTATTGTAAGAAGGAATCAGGATACCTCCACAGAACATCCCAACGTCCCCACCCACAAAATCTGGAAGAATCCCCACCTCATTTATGCTGCCCCAGTCGGCAGATTCTTGATCCAGCCTACCACTATATTCCTTAGTATTAGAAAACAGTTATGTTGGATTCAATACACCAGCAGGTAAGTGAAAGCAAATCTAAAGTAAACAACCAAATGGCTTATATGTGTTTCAAAACTAACAGTAAATGTTCTTGCTAATCAACGTAACCTTCACTTATACTTGTAATGTCTTAGTAATTAAAAAAAAAAAGTTTCCCGATTCTGAACTCATACAGGCAGTCTTGAAATTACGTTTAAACTAATTTTGATCATACGATCAATAATCTAACATATATTCCTTCCTTTGGCATTTAATAAAAACAGCTCAGAAAATTAAATATAGGTTCACAGATCAACTAAGACTGGCAAATCATTGATGCACCTGGGTTAGGTTTGGGGGATCCCTACTTTTACGTGTGTTTGAAATTACTTCCTAGCACATTTTTAAAAAGAATGGATAAACAATACACAGTTGTCCTCCCACTGGAGAACAAGTAGGCAGGACCTGTCTACTTGCTCAATGCAGCACTCGCCGTGTCCAGCATAGCACCTGGCAGGAGACAGTGGCTGAGCAATCTCTGCTCCACTCCTTCATTCACTGAGGCGGAGTGACAGTCTGCCTCTGTATTACCTGTACACACAAGAAGACAAGTTTACTTACAGAGCCTAACTGTCCCGGATAAAACTGGACTGTCTTTTCAGAAACTTGCTAGAGACCGAGCCTTCAATTTTCAGGAAGAATGTAAAAAATGATTTCCTTTCCTTAACCAAAACTCTATTTTTACTCAAGGTGCAGTGGTTCTTTATTGCTATAGCTCCAATTTCCACCTCTGCAATTCATTAGTTTATGATGGAATCAGGTAAACATTTAAAGGTTTTTCTTAATCCAGCATTTAAAGATCTCATCACTGTGTGAGTATGGCTTTTCCCTCTCCACTCTATTTAAAATTGCAACCCCCAAATCCCTATTCTATCTCCCTACTTTTCTTCTCAAAAGCACCTACCACCATCGGACTGTCTCCACTGTGGAAACGGACGAGGGAAAGGCCGTTTGTCCGTCTGTTCATGCGATATGCTGGCTTCTAGAACCAGCCCACAGTATACACTCAAGAAAAAATGAGCGAATGAACACATGCAAAGCACTGAACACTACTGTCATAGGTTGGTTAACGAGTAATGTTTTAAATCAAAATATAACTGCATCCTTAAAACCTTCGTACATAAAATATTTAAAGTGTAAAGTTGATCTTTCTACCACAAAACTATTAAACAGAAATCACCTCATCCTGTTTTTGAACAGGCTTTTCTGGATAATGAAGTACATTAAAAAGTCCTGCAGACTCAGAATGGAAGTACATTCAGTGACAACAGCTGACAGCACACTTGTAAGAGGAAATTCAAGGCTATGCAGTGGTCAAGATCAAAAGGTAAAGATCACAAAGTGATCTTTTGTAGTTTTCTTGCTACAAAAATACACTGCCTCTCCTGTTACTAAATACCCATTTAACTTAAAATTCAATGACAAACAAAGCAAAGCAGCCCTGCTTTCTCTGAAAAGTGCAGGGTAGAAAACCAATGGCCATCAAATGAAAAAAACAGAAATACGTCATCACAAACTGCTTTAAAATTTTTTTTTAACAGTCAGATGTTACAAAATCAAAGTCTTCACTACCCATTAGTAAGGGTTTCCTAGTTACTGTGTGCTGGTGGGCAAATCTCCCATTGCAGTTTAGGGAGGCGAGTATTTTCTAAACTAGGAGACAGCATGCTACAGTAAGCTAAAGCCAGACGAGTGATTTCCTGCAAAGATTCCACGTCAGCTACTTTCTACTTCTAAAATCAAGCCAGTGGTAGAACGACCAAATTAAGTAATATCAGCCGTTTATTTGGATGCCTAAATACATTTCCCTTTAAAAACAAAAACAAAAACAAAAGCAAGCACTCAAATAGCAGCCTCAAGCCAAACTCCCCAAGCTCCTCTCCGCTGCCTTGTTACTCAAGTACAGGCCATCAGAGGGAGCACTGGCTCCAAGCTGTGTTGCTTTTTGCCTGTTTCATTAAGCTGATGGCACCTAGAACTTTAGGAATTTAAATCACCCTCCTGCCCACAGATACTATTCTTCCTAAAGAAAATTCAGGTTCTCTGCTAAAATTTTTGGAAGTACAACAAAGGCTTATCAAAAATTTTCAAACATTTGGAAACTGGACAACGAACAAGAAAAGAAAAAATAACTAAAAATAAGTAATTCTCCGCTCTATTACAGCATTTAAACATGCACATTTAAGGCCACCTTCTCCTGCTGCTAGAAGACTGTCAACTGCTAAAAAGACGGAAAGTGACAAAGATTTCAATCCTAACCCTGGCTGCTCAGAGAACTGCAGATGCAGAGAATTCACATGCTCTCAATGGCAAGAGGCTGCTAAAAACCCTGGCAGGTGAACTAACGGAAATAACACATCCGAGTTCTAAGTACTTACCCTCTACAAAATGATGAACTATCTCATGCAGATAAAATCAGTAAACTCAAACTACCACAGAAGAGTCTGGTAATCTGAACAGCTAACTTACAAAGCTGCCATGCCTGTACATTTTCAGAGGACAACAATCTTAAATGTACCCTCTTCAGAATTCAGTTTACTGAGATTATGAAACCCAAAATGATAAAATCAGCTATTGCAAATAATTTAATTTCTCCAATCATTGTTCTATACCTGTTTCAAAAAATATCACAGAACTCACAAATGTGTTTAGATGTTATTTTGTGACACAGAGGCACAGATAACTAGATACTTGAAATCGATAACACTGGTCAACCAGGAAAAAAAAGACTAAGTGAATGTGTAAAAACAGGTATTTAGGATGGTACTACAGCATTAAAATGATTATGTAAAATTACAATTATTTTGAGAATAATTATTCTCATCACGCCATGAAAAGAAAAAGGCCTTAAAATTCTGGTGAAAACATCCCTAAGTAAACTTGGGAAGGTTACAATTCCTATACCTGTTTTACCTATAAAGCAAGTCCCTTCTGTCACTATAATCCTTTAAAAAATTAAAGTTCTGCAGTCGTATTTTTATTGACCAAAAAAGGTCTTACCTTCGATTCATTTTCTGGGGTTTCTTTTTCCTGCCAATTCTACCTCAGTAAGTGAAGCACTGCCAGTAATTTCAAAAGCATCTCCCTCTTTTGTCACTGGTTTATTCTCTGGAATACATCCCTACGCGACTTCCTTTCTCCGAAGATTTTACATTTGCATATGATTTATTCCACTAGCAGTTGCTAATTGCAGTATGAAATAACTTCCAGATTCTACTATGGGAAGCATGGGGCATTCTGCGGATCCTTGGAATTCTGAGCTGGAAATGATCAACCTGTTCAAATGCTCACAAAATAGACTTCGGTTAGGCTCCGTGCAGCAACGAAAACATAAGTCTACGTTATTAGAACCTCTTTCATTCCCTCTAAGAAGTAGTGAAGCTGGGCAAAGTTAAAACCGCCTGCATTCTAATCCAACCTCTGTCACATTGGACAAACCCTTACACTGAACCTCCTAGGGCCTTAAGTTTCCTGAGCAGTTAAATGAGAGAACAGCATCTATCTCACAAACTTGTTAGAGTACGAAATGAATTAACACATGCAAAGAGGTTAGAATCGTCCGTGGTGTGTGGTGACAGTCATTAGACATTTAGAGAGTTATTATTGCAGGAAAGCACTAACTTTAAAATCAAACACACACGACTTCTCGATTTTCGAGTACGACTACTTGGCCCGTGGGCCTGGTCCGCAGAATCCCCACAGCCTGGTTCGTACGGAACACGCGGGGACACGGCAGGCCGAGTGCCAGGGCCCGCCTAACGCGTCCTAGGGACTCCTTAGAGACGCGCAGGACATGCCGGCCCTGGTGGCAGGTTACGGCACGAGCACCTCCGCGGAAACCTGACACGGCCTTAGGTTCAGCGCCGGTGTCGGGCTCCGACGGCGCAGCCCTGGCACGCCCGGGCCGTCCAGACACGGAGGAGCAGCAACACGCGGCTCAGCAGTCTGCCAAGCGTTCGTCGCCGTCTCTGGGCTCTGCCGTCCGTAACGCGAACGGGCGACTCAACTCTTCTCCCTCCCGGGAAGGTTTTGCTTCTCCCCCCTGCAGGACCGCGTCCAGGAGCGGAGCGGGTCCGCCACCCGCCAAGTGGCCGGTGTGTTCGTTGGGCGGCGGCGGGGCACACGTCGTCCGCCTCGTTCTCGCCACACGGCTACGGCTTCCCGCCAGACGAACACCACCTCCAGCCGACGGGCCCCGGGAACCGAGCCGCCGCGGCCCGCGGTCACGCTCGCCCTAGGGAGCGCTCCGGTGCCGAAAACAAAGGCCCTTCGGCGGTCCCGCGCTCACCGGCGGCCCGTTTGGGAGGCAGGGAGGGGCCCGGGCCGCCGCCTTCACCTTCCCGGGGACGCCGCGCGGGAACAAAG